AATCGGAATTGTAAACAGAAATGGAATGTTCAAAGATTCTGTTTTTAATTTTTCGATTAGTTTGGCCTATGTAAGATTGTAGACTGTCTGGACAAGGAATTTAATAAAAGCTGTATTGTTGGTTTGGAATGTTGTCCTTTGCCGAGATTACTGCAACTTTTCAACTAGGAAAATTTTCATATACTTTTGATGTTCTTCGAGGTTTATGCCAAAATTGTGCTATCAATAATTTCCAAATGAGGAGTCAAATACATTGTTTATAAAACTTCCTTAGAACTAAAACATTTGCTTTCAAAATTAGAAAAAAGCTGGTAGTAATTAATAACTATCTATTGTTACTACTTATGTGTGTCTTTGTTTTTGTGGCACCAGTTTTGCTGTATTGAATGTTATATAATTTGCTTTAAAAAGTTGTTAATTTAACTGTTTGCTGATATCAGTATATCACAAGACTTACAAAACAAGTGTTAGATATATATAACAAGTTAAACATTCATCTTTTTAAATGTACTGAAAATTATTGTTTTAAATTTTGGCATTGTAAACTTTACAAAAAGTTTCACAAATACAAATGATGTGATAAGTCCATATATTTAAACATTTTTTTGTAAATAAATATGTTATTATCAATTTTAACAAAAAATTAACAACAAGAATACTCAACAAACTATCTATATAAGGCCTATTTTATGTACATGGGTTTCCCTGCAAGTAAATTCAACCGAAATTACATAGACTTAGTACAAATAATGTTTGTATGATTAATAATAGTAATAGATTCCCTGGAGGATCATAAGAATGTTAGAATTATTTGCATTTGTAGATTATTATTGTAGCTGTGCAAGTTTTTTGTTGAGAAATATATTGTTGTATGAAAAATATACTTCTAAATAAGACCAAACTAACAAAAAAGCACATAAAATGTGTTGCGAACTTGCAGTTTTTCTATGAATAGGTTTGAATATAACAGAAATGTTAAAATTTTAGGAAATAATCCAACAACAATTATCAAAGAATGTTTAATTTTACACTACCTTAAGCAAATTGGGCTGTGCAAATTGCAACTATATTGCTTATCTAAGAGTATCAAGAATAACAGTTTACGGAACACTGAACACTGGATGAGGTAACACTGTAGTGGCATTTTAAATTACATACAATAGAAATGACTAAATATAACAAAATACTTTAGCAAGAGCTCAACTAGTGATTATATTTGATTGTTGGGTAATCATTATAAAATCATGTAAGGATAATGTGACACAGACACTTTTTACTCCAAGGAATGTTGAATTTGATATGTGTGAAAATAAAGGGCAATAATAATCAACCGCACATATGCCAAGTAGCTAATTTTGGAGAAGAAATACAGATTTAAAACAGATCTGAAACAGATTTGTATATTTGGGCTCCATGATAACAAACTATGAGTAGTAGACTAGCAATACCAGAATCGCAACAGCTAAATTAATTAAAATATGGAAGGAGTTAATACTAAAGGTCTACTATTTTATAGGTACTATTTTATATCAAAGTGCAAAACAATTAAAAAAAAACTAAGATGCAGTTATTTTTGAGTCAGCAGTGGTTGGTTTAGAAATTTTATAAGGTGCCATGACATTGTATTTAAACAAAATTACAGCCTTCCAATGTAAATACAGTAGTATCTCTTTATAATGATTCCCTATATAACGATAATTCCTCTATAACGATGAAAATAGTAAACATTGGTTAGTTTGCCATAAGGGCAATGTATTAATTCTTTCTCTATACCGACATCGTTCTTTCTTTATAGCGATGACTTTTCAGCATTCAATAGTCAATGACAAATGTGTTATTGTTGTTCCAGCAGCAGCATATGAACCATATTCCACTTCCTGGGCTTGTGGTCAGGACAAAAGCTGAATTTTTTGCAACTGAGCTTGGAATTAAGAATTTCAAGGCATCTGAGGATTGGCTGAGCAAGTGAAAGCTGCAGCACAAGATCAACTAAGGGCAAATCAGCGGTGAGGCTCGCGATGTTAACAAAAACGTAACAGATGATTGGCTAGAAAACGTGTGGCCTGGACTGAATGCACGATATGCACCAGACGACATTTTCAATGCTGCTGAGACTGGATTGCTTTTTAAAATGACACCAAACAGAACTTTAAAATTTAAATTGGAAATGTGCATTAGTCGAAAACTCTCTAAGGAACGCATTACAGTTTTAGTAGCTGCTATCATTGTTAGTGATAGGGAAGTTGAAAAATGCATGTTGCTTTAAAAACATAAAAAATCTACTGGTGACCTATAAAGCAAACAAGAGTGTGTGGATGGCTTCGGAAATTTTTGAAGAAGCGATAAGAAAGTGGGATATCGAGCTTAAAGGAAAAAAAATTCTTCTGCTTGTAGGCAATTGTCCTACTCATCCTGTATTGTGCGAACTTCAAAACATTGAACTTTGTTTTCTGCCAGCAAACACAACACATGTACTTCAACCAATGGACCGGACCAAAGTGTAATCAAGAGTTTGAAAAGCCATTACAGGAAAAGACTTTTGATGGAATTAAAGAGTGGTGATCTTAAACTAAACATTCTTGACTCCATCTTAATTATTATTAAATCCTGGGACAGGGTGACGAGCAATACAATAAAACATTCCTTCAAACACACAGAATGGCTGGAAGATCAAGGATTGATTGATGATGAAGATGACCTGCCATTAGATGTTTGGGCCAGACAGTTTGAACTTACTATCACCTATAGACCAGAAGAGCTAGCAGATTTTGAAGAAGTTGATAAAAATGTAGCTACATCTAGACTTTCTGACAACGGCATCCTACAGCAGTTTGTGTAGAAGAAGAAGAAAACAGTGGCCCGTAAGTGGAAGCAGAGCCAGAACCAGCTCCGACCCCTCAGCAGGCATTGGATGCAGCAAAAGTACCGAATTGATTCTTTATCCACCAGGAAGACTATATGAGTGCTGTTGATGATTATATGTGTCTTGAGCACAAGGTCAGGTCAACTTTTTTGGAAAGAGAAACTGAGCAAGGTGACAGACTTTTTTGGTAATTTTGTTATTGTACAGTACACATGTTTTAAGTATAGTCATTTTTTTATACTGTATTGCTTATATTACTCTTTAATAAATCTATGTTGTGTACAATAGAATGTTAATTCATTTATATTAGTTTTGATCAATTTTTTAAATTAAAATAGGTTATTTAGTACAGTATTATTAATATTACAGAACCGAATTTTGTCTCTCTCTGTATAACTATCTCTCCTTATAATGATGAAAATTCCTGGTCCCTTGCATATTGTTATAGAGAGAGAGGACTGTAACAAGATACATGCAGAATGGAAAATTGAATTATAGGGTTTGATTAAAGGTTATAAACTGGAAAACCTCTTTAATGTTGATAAAACAGGACTTTAAAAAAAATGAGAAATGTTATTAAGAAACACACAGCAAAGAGAGATTTACCATATTAGCCATATTACCAAATTATAAAAACATAGGCCTTGGCTACAGGTAATAATAATACCCTAGTTGTTTTACTCGCACAAATCTCTGCTGTTAAACCAGGAAGCCAATCAGAAAGAAGCTGAAACTTTGCCATGAGATCAGCTGAGATATTAAAGAGGTGTCACATTAAAATTAATAAAAAAATAATGAAGGAGAAAGGAAAGATATTGCTTTTCATTGACAAATGTACCACACATGATGTGATTCTGCCTAAAGTTGTTAGTGCCCTCCATGTTAATATCTACGGGCAGTCTCTTTTTGTCTCTCTCTTGTTTGTTTGTCTCAAATTTTGGTTATTTTCTAAGCAATTTGAAGGTGCTGATGCATAAAGGTAGCAGTTTTACTTCTTAAATATTTTTTATACCACTATTACCACGATTTTATACGACTTTTGAACTTCTAAAAGTAAATATCTATTTTTTTAATAATATCTATTCAACAATTATTGAATTTTTTTCAATTTGAACATGTGTGTTTAAATGTTTTAAACAACATTCTTGCAAAAAAAATTGTAGACATCGTTGCTACGTGTATTTTAATTAAACATACATTCTCGTAGTCCTTGTTGATTATTACATTCACTTCCTAGTTTGTAAAATTATAATTTTTAAAATGTTGCACTAATATTAAATCTAATATACAGTTACTATAGTAACTGAGATGAACACAGGTTAAAATGTATCATTTAAACTGATCTACAATTATTTATTGCGGGATTTCGAATCGACTTGGATGCTTTATTGTGTAATTATATTTTTAAAATTCTATGAGCGTATTTACATATTTTCCCACGTATCGCACTGTACAGTTATTTTAAAACAAACTAGAAAGTTTATTGACCAAGAAGAATTCTTCAAATAGAATATTTTTGACAACTATTAGTGTACAACTAAAATGAAAATAAATTATTAAAGACTTACCAAACTATCGTCATCATTCATTTTTTCCTTGGCATTTTGAATTGTTATTCCTCTTCCTGGTTTGCTTCTAGGATATAACAGTCCAACACACTAATGTTTATGGGCATTTAAACACATAATTTTAAATTTGCAATGGCCATTTAAAAACGCAAATTATTAATAAATCATTAATACGAACATTTTTTAAACGGGACACTTGTTCCAACGCAAAGAACCGTAAACATCTGTCAAAATTGAAAGGGTTCAACAAACCGCGAAAAAACTAAAGAATTAACAGAGACCTACTCAACCAAAGAACGTTAACAATTCTAAACAATTTTCACTGAATTTTAAATAAACTGATTAAATAATTATCACAGTTAAATTTGTCTTGCTAATTTCTCCGGTAGCTCTGCTTTCACCATAAACTTTTTTATTACGTGACGTCATGTGTCACTGTCAGTGTCAAATGAATACCAACGACATGTTACTACAATAAAAATTACTAAAAAGTCAATTGTCAATATTTATTTATTATCAACAAAACAAGATAACCAAAGACCATCTACTCCACTTGGTGTAAATGGTCTTTGAAGATAACAAGATAAATAAGAAAGTAGTATCAAAGTCAAAGTGTAGTATATTGGTTGTAAATAACAAATAGGATGTATTAATGTAAGTTTTTCAAAAATTTATATGGTTTTTATTTTAAATTTACTTTGTTTTTAGACGTCATATGATGTTGAAATTACCTCACTATATCTAAAAATAGAAAATAGAAGCAACCACTTGTTGATTTTCGTAATTTTAATATAACATTACGTTATATTGATTAGAGGTTTAACATTTATTCCAGGAAAGAATGCAGAAAAGCCCATTAGAACAATGGTTCGAAAATCTCCCATCGCGAAACGCGTCTAACAATACTCAAAGAAGAATTTCTTTACTTAATAATACTGGTAAATCTCTTTCTAGAGATTTTTCATTCCATTCTGACGACGGAACTAGTCACTGTTCTAGTGTAGAGTCTTTTCTAGAGTTGCGAAGACCAGATCCTGAAGAAGTACTACTGGAACTTGGATTTGGTCCAAATAAGAATTCTGAAAAGATAAATCGTATACCAGCTAGATTTCTTCAACCTTCTAAGGTATGAATATTTAAATACTGTTACTGAACTTTAACCTGTTTTGGCTAGTTAATGATATACCAATGTAGATAACAAAAATATTTTTATTTTGGTATGTATTAGCTTTAATTTGTTTATATTAAATTTCTGTCTATTTTTGAGGAACACTAATTGAAATAGCTTTGCCTATTTATGAGTATACATGTTCTTAAAGTCTACTTCATCTCAATTCCTTTAGAATTTTTTACAGAGAAAACAGCTGTGGAAAGTTATTGGACTTGATACAGACATTAGAGTAGAGTAAATGTTTATTTGCATAAATTAAATTTTTAAACACAATTGAGCAGAAATTATCACATTATTAATTACAGATAAAAAAATATAAGTATATTGATATCACACATTTAAAATATATTAACATTACAAATTAAATATGCTGAAAAAGGAGAATGATAGGCCAGGCACTCCGCTACAGTATAGGGCTCAATGTCAACTAGGTGTTGAAAAACCTTTCTTTTAAAAGCTCTATAGTGTGTCTGTTTAAAAGCTCTAAGAAAAACAATTTAATATGAAAACATAAAAAACTACTTTTATTATCATCATAAATTGGATATTACGTACCAATCAATTTTATCATTAGTAAAATAATATGACGGTCATTAAATAAGTTCTTAGAAAAAGATAAAAAAAAACAATTATCTTCGATATTTCTTTTTTTTTTTCTTTTTAGTGTACTAAAAGCTAACTATGTTCTCAATGCAACAAACTCTTGGCTTTTCTAGGGACTTAAACAATCCTTATATGCTTTTTAAATATTGTTTAATTCACATTGTTATTAATACTATTGTGTAATAGTTGGTTAATCTGCAATTAACAGAAAATAACTCAGTGTTTTGCCCTTTTTTGTGGTAATTTACAAATCACGAAAAAACTGTCCATTATCTGTAGGCAATAATTGATAAAGCTCATTAGTGTACAGGACCGGCGTTCAAATTTTAATTTAGAAAATGAAGTGTATGGAATGCAAGAAAGATGGTACTGAAGAAGAAATGCTTTATTGTGATAGCTGTGACCGACCAGTTCACAAAGATAATTATTGTTCTGGTCTGTGTTCATCAGAAATTAGGGTTATGGAGTTAAAGAAGAATCGTGTTCTACAGTTTTTGTGCCAAGAGTGTAAATCTGGAATGAAACTTGTTCCAAAACTGTTCAAATTAATTGAAAAACTGCAGAATGAGGTTAATGATATGAAATTGCAGAATTCTAAAAACCAAGAAGAGGATATTGTAAGTGAGGTATTTGAAAGACAAAAGAGAATGAACAACTTAATCATTCATAATCTAGGTGAATCTGTGGATAGAAGAAACGCTGCTTCTGATGATTTGGCTACTGTGACCTCAATTTTCAAGGATATTACTCAAGAGGATATTAAAGTCGTCAAAGCTGTTAGATTTGGTAAGAAAAACAAAAATGGTGCTCGTTCCCTAAAAATTGTATTAACAAATACTTTTGATGTAAAGAATATTTTAAAAAATAAGATTCACGTTGCCAAAGCAAGGAAGATATTTATTAATTCTGATTTAACCCCCCAGCAACTCAACAAACTCAATGAAGTTAAAGAGGACCTCAAAAAACGCCAAGAACAAGGTGAGAAAGATTTATTTATACGATATATTAAAGGTATACCTGAAATTTGCAAAAATGATAATTCCACACAAAAAAACTAGACACAACGAAACATATAACATATTCACCTCCGTTATCAATTTATTATCAAAATGTTGGTGGATTAAGAACAAAACTAAAGTCACTGGAAATTGCCATAGCTCAATGTAATTATCATATAATCATTTTGGTGGAAACTTGGTTAACTTGTGAATATAGCGATGCAGAATTAGGACTTATTGGTTATAACGTGTTTAGAAATGATCGTAATTCTGCTTCTACAGGTAAAACTAGGGGTGGAGGTGTGTTAATTGCTGTTAAAAATGACATAAGTGCACAGAAAGTGATAATCCCCGATTGTGAAGTAGAACAAATTTTTGTATCACTGAAAGTTAATAATAAGTGCATAGTTTTGGGTGGAGTTTATATCCCTCCTGCATCCGACCTAAATGTATACATGTTGCACTGCAGTTCAGTTGAATATGTGATGGAGAAGTGTGAAAACTTGTTACTGTGTGGTGATTATAATTTACCAAATGCTTCCTGGAGTAATGACAACTTTGGATTAAATGTTGAATGCCCTGAAGACTATCCTGCTGTGTATTTGGCAAATTCTTTTGGATATTTTAATATGTTTCAAATAAACAATTTACCTAACAGTCGTAATGTCTTTCTAGATTTAGTATTTACTAATTTAAATAATGTTGATGTAGTTATTCCACTTGATTCACTATTTGGTAATAGTATCCACCATTCACCTATAATTGTAGAATTAACTGGTTTTGAAAAGCATGATCAACTGAACTACGAGGAATTTTATTATGATTTTAAAAATGCAAATTACATCGGACTAAATGATTACTTTGCAAGTTTAAATTGGGACTTACTTCTATCAGATGATGTGAATTATAGCTTAGCAGTATTTTATGATTTTATGTTTACAGGTTTTGACTTCTTTGTTCCGATCAAAAAATTTAAAACAAGTTCGTTTCCAATTTGGTTCAATGGTAAATTAAGGAAGTTGATATATTTAAAAAAGAAATTACATAAGCAGTATAAATTGTTTGGTAGAAGGGATGATTATTTAAGATTTTCTCAGTTAAGAAATGAAATTAAACAAGTCTCCTCTCAATGTTATAGTAACTATTTGAATAATATTGAGAATGGGATTATATCTAATCCTCGACATTTTTGGAAATATATCAATAATAAACGTAAAAGTTATAATCTGCCATCTAATATGTTCTACGGTGATAGTACAAGTGATAATGCTCAAGACATAGTTAATCTATTTGGTAAGTTTTTCTCAACTACATATTCTAATTCTAAAATTAATCAGATCCCAATTTTTAACTATCAGCAGAGTGTAAATGTGAATAATTATAGTATTGAGGTCTCTGACATAATTGATAGTGTTTTAAAGATGCCTTGGAAATTATCGCTTGGACCAGATTGTTTGCCAGCTTATGTTCTCAAGCATTGCATTTTCACTCTTGTAAAACCTATCTGCTACTTATTTAATTCCTCATTGAGTACCGGCATCTTTCCTGATCTTTGGAAGACTAGTTATTTAACACCAATTTTCAAGTCTGGTAATAAAAATGATGTTGAGAATTATCGAGCGGTTTGTAGCCAATCTGTATTACCCAAGCTTTTTGAGTGTCTTGTAAGTAACTTTTTGACATGGAATTGTAAAAATTTAATTGATGTTAGACAACATGGCTTTTCTAAGGGTAAGTCTACATGCACGAAATTAATATTGTATACGAATTTTATAGCTAATTCAGTGGAACAGAAGGGTCAGGTTGACGCTATCTACACAGACTTCTCAAAAGCCTTCGATAGAGTTAACCATGATCTGCTTATTGCTAAATTAAATGGCTATGGATTTGGAGGTAAAATAATTGAGTGGATAGGTAGTTATATATCTGGTAGATGTCAGTATGTTAAATATGGAAATTGTTTATCTCAACGAGTATCTGTAACCTCAGGAGTTCCTCAGGGGTCTCATATTGGGCCTCTCTTATTTAATATATTTGTTAATGATATATCCTCAGTGATTAAAAATAGTAATTTTCTAATGTTTGCTGATGACCTTAAAATATTTCGAATAGTTAATGACCTAGTTGATGCCTCTTTATTACAGAATGACATTAAAAGCTTAGCTAGTTGGTGTGAGGTAAACATGCTATACTTAAATATACAAAAATGTTTTAAAATTACTTTTGGAAGATCAAGAGAGTTTGTAAATTATGATTATTATATAAATAATGTACCTTTAGAGGCACGTCATAATATTAAAGATTTAGGTATAAATTTTGATTCCAAACTTACTTTTAAAAATCACATTAACGAAACTTCAGCTAAAGCTTTAAAAATGTTAGGATTTATTCTTAGAAACTGTAATCAGTTTTCAGTACAAACTTTAAAAATGTTATACTTTAGTTTAGTTCGATCAGTTTTGGAGTATGGTTCTCTCATTTGGTCTCCTTCATATAACAGTGACATCTACAGTATCGAGAGAGTTCAAAATAAATTCTTGAGGGTATGTGCTTACAAAATTGGTTTTCTTAGACAGCAATACACATATGATGATATACTGTCAATACTTAATATCTCATCACTACATGATAGACGTTGTCAAGCGGATTTATGTTTCCTTTTTAAAGTTATAAATGGATATGTTCAAGATCCAGAGTTACTAAGTTTAATAAGTTTTAATGTTAATACTCGAAGAACTCGTAACACTGAGATTTTCAACATTCCATTCCACAGTACGAATTATGGCCAAAATGAACCCATTACAAGAATTTTACGAACTGCTAATGAGCACAGCAATAATTTAGAGTTATTTGGAATATCTACAGCAGCATTTAAGAAATCATTTGAGCGATTTTGAGCATTATTTAATACCTTAAGTTACCATTTTAATTGAATTTTGTTTGATTTTGATAATTTTGGTAATGATAATTTTGGTTTGTTTTTTATTAACGCAACCTATGTATACCTAAGCTTTGTAAAGGTTGACGTCATATTTATGTAAAAATGGTATATCCGTTAATTAAATAAATAAAATTGTCATTTTTCCCTGTTCTGCTTGAAACTTGTTTGTAATTACCTGGTTGCTATATTTTTTATAATCTAAAAAGTAAGAATAATCCATCTCAATTACCTTATGGTAAGGTTTACTTGTTTTTGCAGTGCGAGCGACCATATACCATCCTTTTGGTGTGTACACATCAACTTGCTTACCACAGGACTCTATTAAGGAGTGCACAGAATCACACTCCATCTCTGAGTGTCCTGATTCCATAAACTTCTGATTTATTGTTTGTATAGGTAGCTGCTCCACAGCCCTTAAGACAATAACAGATACAATAGTGTTTCTCTTTTGTCCTGGTGCTGTGTCCGAATAAAATGTCACTTCTTTGTTTAATAATACTTTTTCTAAATCCATAGTAAAGCAAGAGAAATTTGTATCACATTTGCTATGGTTTTTGTCAACTTTTTGTGTTCCCTAGCTTCTTCATCTTTTACCTTGTCCTCGTCTGACTTATTTTTGTACTGTGTATAAAGTCACACTGACCCTTTTTCAGAGTGTGAAACACATAGTTAAACTCTGACACGAAGACTGATGTATAGAAACTGAATTTTTCTGCCTCAACATTAACTTCTTTACTATATTCCAAATAGTCCATATAAATATGAGTTTCACTCAATCCAGATGGTAAATATTTTCTCTTACTGCTGCTGTGGAAGTAATGTAAATCAACTACGGGCAGTGCTTGAATATATTTTCTAATTATATTTTTCACATCCTCTGATTTTTTTGTTGGACAGTTCGTTGTGACCCTGGTTCAAGCGGCTTACTGTAGTTGACTGTTTTAAAGTGTGTGTGCTAGATCTATTGGCGAATTTTAAAATAGTAAAGAAGAAGACATTTATTCCTCAAATCCTTTGACCATGGCATTTTTTGAGGGTTTTAAATACATCCTATGCACTCAATTTTGATATATATACTCAATTTTGATAAAATTGTGGCTTGGCTCCCTTGACCTCCACGGCGACGATGAGTAGTAGGCTCTATTCAGTTTTTTTGTTGTATTTTGTATTTGTTCCCCCCAATTCAGATTCTGGTCAATATGAATACCAAGAATATACCATTATAATAAAAATGTAGAAGATGAAGGGTATGACAATGAGAAAATTTCAAATAAGGGAAATGGAAATAATAGAAGATAAGAAAAAAGTAGAACATGTAGAGGATGTAATACCAGATTGGTTTGTAAGAGAATTAATAATTTATCTGTACCTACATATATTTCTTTACAATAGAGATACAAGAAAATTACATAAATTGTACTAAAAATAGTAAATTATACTAAAAATTGTTTCTTTGCACATATATTAAGCTTTGATTTAGTCTAGTCAAACTAGTCATAGGTGAAATGTTCTAATGAATGTTTTATATTTCCCAAAATAATAGATTTCATATTGCTTGTGCGTGAATAATACCAGATTATTCATAATTACATTTAAAAACACCCAATATATATGCACAAAGTATCTTGGAAAGATGATTTGCACTTTCCAATGCCAATTCATTGAATGGGCATATTGTATGAGTGTGATCAAACGGAGGTCAATTTGACATTTTTTTATTTAAATATTAAAACACAGTTATTATTTTCCTACTTAATCTGAAAAACCTAATATTGTTCTGGGATATACCTCTTTAACTTCAGAAATTATTCCTGTTGGAAAATACAACAAAACTTTAGTAACAATTTCTGTTTGAAAAACAAAGTGTTAAGTTTTCTTAATTTAAGTACATAATGTAGTTTTTATAAGTGTGTAAAATCTACCTGTAGTAATTAAACAGTTTTAGTAAAGCATTTTATATTAAAAAACAAAACAAGTGTATATTAAATATATTTTTATTTTTTTTAGTTATTGCCACATATTGACTTAAACAAATTTTTAGAGGACAATGGTGCAAAAGTTCCAGACTCACAGTAAGTTTGTAACAGTATATTTTTAACAACTGCTTATCTTATCATTTTCTTAAACCAGTCAGATAGAATAGATATGATAATGTACCTATAGTAGAAACCACAGTTAGAATGCAGAGAAATCAGGACCAAATGTGCTTCTTTTCAAAAATCTTAACTCATTAATTAATTTAATTGACTTAAATAAGAAAACAACAAAAAAAACAAATTAATTCTATAAAAAAATGCCTGTATACTTACTTATACCTAATACCTCATAAATATTTATATACATATACAAAAAAAATGCAAGTAGTTTACCCTATTCAACATGATAAATATATATATATATATATATATATATATATATATATATATATATATATATATATACAGGTTTTATTGTACTACCTACTGTACTACTGTAGGGTAATTGTGAATATCCGTGTGAAATTCTGTGTAATAAACTCACAAAAGTAAGTAAGTAAAAAACCCTTTGTTGAACTAAAACCCACTGCAGCATGCTAAGCATTGTTTTTTTCACTTGACTCCATCTCAATCGGATTTAGCTCGCAATGGTAAGGCGGCAGTCTCAAAATCTTAGCGCCATATTTTTCCGCAATTATTTCAATTTTGTACTTGTCATGTCATACTCGTCTCTAAATGCTGCCGCAGTATCCAGTAATTCACTTTTTAGTTAATCTTCCTTAAAGAAAATGTTCTTTTCTTTTCCATTAGCCAATCCTTGATTTGCCTTTTGTTCCACAATTTTTCTTTGCCATTCGGCAAGTTTGGAATAAACATATTCTCAAATCATTCTTCATATAGATCCCCGTCCATTTCGTTGTGGTAATCAGAGGTTTCCTTCTTAGCCAAGAAGGTTACTTCGGCTCATGCCACAAAACCAGTTTCACTCCCAGCATGAAGAAGAGCAAACCGAGGACCTTTGGGTTGGAGCTTTCAGTCCAATAGAGAGCCCATTTATGAAGGCATCTCGTTGATTCTTGATCATTGTGTCCCACCATTCCTTTTTGACTGAAGCACAGACGTGAGTTCGATATAAACAAGGTTTACATTATCCTTCTTTCTAAATGTTTTTATTTGTCTGAGGAACTTTTGTCTTCAAAATATGATATCTTTTCTTTCCATCATTATCGAATCTCAACCTCTGTTACCATATTCAAAAGCCATGTCATTTAGTAGCCTACAAAATGTGGTTTTTGGAAAAGCTGGTGGGTCCTTATGTCCTTCACTCTGTTTAATATGCTGTCGACGGTTGGTGGTATGTTTTCCAAAAAAAATCATGGACAATTTTCCTTATTCGATATTTCACTCCCTCATCCTAAGTATTGTCATGTGAATTGGACTGGAAACTGCTTTTCTTCCTTTTAAGTTCAGATGATAGTTCAATACATTTAACACCTAAGAGTGATACTCTGTTTGAAATTCACGACAGATACTGGCAACAGCTCCATGATGTAGGTACTTTCATCAGCTCGCGAAAATGAAATAGAACTGAGCTTTCATAGTTTTTACAAACAAGTTTTTGGTCTAATGGCCAGTACCCAAGTCGACAAAGAGACATATTGCTTTGCCTGGACAACGGGGATTAAAACTGATTGGCTTCTCCTAATGACTTTACAATGATCTTTATTTCCCAAAGAATATGTTTACAATGGAAGCTTTGAAAATTGATAAATATAGATAAGCTATCGACAATGAATTTTTAATGTATTTTACTTTTATATTGTAGTCTTATTTGAATTTCGCGCCATTGACAGATCTGATTGTCACTCAATTTGAAAAAAAAGAAGATAACCACACTTTATGTTTAGACTTGACTTGTGATTATGAATTATGGCCATCTGAATGTTATGAAAACTATTATGTCGAATTATGTACAATTAGTGTTTCTTTCCGCTAAATAAACTTAAGAAAACTAGAACAATATTATTTATTAACGGAGCCTACAGAATCAGAAGTGGGATTACGTGGATCACCGATATTTTTGCAGATTTAAAAATTGTGTTTAGTATTGACGATAGCCATGCCGGGATCAGACACCGAAATTGAAAATACAAGTGGAAACACCGTCGCTCAGGCGAGTATAGCTGAAATTGTTCATACAGCGGTACAGGCAATCCTCGATTATGAAGAGAAAAAGAAAATTGCCGGTCCAGAAAATCAGATGCCGACACATAACCCCATAAAAATTACTAACAGTGAATTATCAAATTTAATGCCGGAATTTTCAGGCACAGACAAAAGCCAGAATGTTGCAATATGGTTAGAAAGAATAGAAAAAATCAAAACTGTGTATAATGTTCCAACTGATATTTTACAACTGTTAGTCATTGGAAAATTGACCGGAAAAGCGAAGGAATGGTACCTCAGCAAACCAAATTTAATTTCCACAGATTGGACAGGTTTAAAAAATGAAATTAGGAGAATGTATGGGAGAACTTATGATCCAGTGTCGTCGAGAAGAAAGATGGAGACTAGAAGGTGGAAAAAGAGTGAAAGCTTTTCAGCATATTTCCATGACAAACTGTTACTGGGCAACGAAGCAGGAGTTGAGGATGAAGATATGATACATTATCTGATTGATGGGTTTGATGATCGCCTACTTCAAAATCAAGCCAAAATGATGTTATCCACACTCAATAGCACTGAAGATTTATATAAGTTAATGGGGAGTGTTGTTAAAGATGAGGTATCAGGAAGTGGACAAAGGTTTGCTACAGCATCAAGTTATAGGGTAAGTTCTAGCCAGAACCAACCTCATACAGCAACACAGGGTCGGACGCCAGTTCCTGTAAAATGCTTTAATTGTGGTCGTACCGGACACAAAGTGACAGAGTGCAGACAAGCCAAGCGTGATAGGGGATCATGTTTTAGATGTGGAAGCAAAGATCATATGGTAAGAGACTGTCCTAATAGAAACCAGCAAGTGGTGCAACAAGTTGCAGATTCAACTACCCGAGATAGTAATGGAGCCATGGGTCTAGTGGAACGTCCTATGAGCCAAACGGATCCTTTTGTATTAAACCTGGTTCTAGATAAGTATAGCATAACATTAAATGGTATAATAGATACAGGGAGTCCAATATCATTGATATCAGAAAATTTTGTAAAGGCAGAAGATATTATTTCTTCTACTAATATTGAATCTTATTCAGGTATAAATAAATCTCCTTTAAAAGTGTTAGGGTTTTTTTATGACACAGTTATTTTTGATGACATATCAGTAAATTTAAAATTTTATGTTGTTGAGAAAGATTCTTTTAGTTGGAATCTACTTTTGGGTCGAGATTTTATAAACAATGAATCCATAGAAAATATAAGTTTTTCAAATGGTTCTTTTAAAATAAATAAAAACTCTTGTGTACAAACAGAGGAGGACTATCAGTTTCCTTTTACAGATGTTTTGTTTATTAACGATATGGTAAATTTAGATGCAGACTTGAATATTAATTATTGTTTACCTTTTGAAATAACTACTAGTGTTCAAACTTTATTGAAGTCATATTACTTTGATTATGATAAACCATTAAAACCACAGTGTGATTTCAAAGCACAGCTTACTTTAACTAAAAATGAACCTTTTAGTATCAGACCACGTAGACTATCTTATGCAGAGAAAAAGTCGTTGGATGAAATTCTTGCTAATTTATTAGAAAATAATGTCATTAGGGAAAGTGATTCACCTTTCTGTTCACCAGTAGTATTAACCAAGAAGAAGTCAAATGAATATCGAATGTGTGTAGACTATCGTACTTTAAATAAATATCTTATTAGAGATCAATTTCCCTTGCCGCTAATAGATGATCATTTAGACAGGTTAAAGAATAAGAAATATTTCTCTAAATTGGATTTGAAAAATGCTTTTTACCATGTTCCTTTAGATGAAAGTTGTACTAAGTATACTTCATTCGTTACACCTTCAGGTCAGTATGAATTTCTTAAATTACCTTTTGGTTTGAGCTCAAGTCCCTCTATTTTTGCAAGGTTTGTTAATAAAATTTTTAAAGATTTGTGCCAACAAGGAAATGTTTTAATATATTTTGATGACATATTAATTGCTACTCAGACTATCGAAGAAAATCTAGAAGTGTTAAGAGAAGTTTTAATATTAGTTAGCCAGAATTTACTTGAGTTAAGACTAGATAAATGTTCATTTTTGAAAACAGAAATAGATTTTCTGGGTTACAGGATTAATGAAAATGGTATATGTCCTAATAAAGATAATGTGAAAGCTATTGCAGAGTATCCAGTTCCTACAGATACCAAGCAGGTGCATAGATTCTTAGGCCTTGCTAGTTATTTTAGACGTTTTATACAGAACTTCTCTATCATCGCCAAGCCGTTATATGACCTATTACGAAAAAATGTCAAATTTGAATTTACAATGACACATTTACAAGCTTTTGAGAATTTGAAGTCAAAACTGACATCAGAACCTATTTTAGCAGTTTATGATCCGAGTAGGGAAACAGAACTACACTGTGATGCAAGCCAAGTAGGCTATGGATCAATTTTACTTCAGAAACAAAGTGATGACAAATTTCACCCAGTGTTTTTCTTTAGCAAGAGAACAACTGACTATGAGTCTCGCTACCATAGCTACGAACTTGAATGCTTGAGTATTGTGTATGCACTTAAACGGTTTCATGTTTATCTACAGGGAATCCCTTTCAAAATAGTTACAGATTGTGACAGTTTTCGCTTAACCATGAGTAAAAAGGATATAATTCCAAGGATTATGAGATGGTGTTTGTTATTGCAAAATTATGATTACTCTATTGAGCACAGAGTAAATACAAGAATGCAACATGTAGATGCCTTAAGCAGAGTGAGTTATGTACTGGTATTAGAAGGAAATACTATTGAACAAACTTTGGCTTTAAAACAGTCCAAGGATACAGTTATCTCAGATCTTCGAAAAAGACTTGAGGAGACAGATCATCCTTTCTTTGAATTAAGAAATGGGTTAGTATATAGAAAACTGAAAGATAACATTGCATTTTATGTACCAGAAAGTATGGAGTCAGCAGTTATCTATCACTATCATAATGAATTGGGTCATTTCGGAACAGACAAAACATTTGAAATTATTTCCAAGACATATTGGTTTCCAAAATTAAAATTTAAGATTGGAAATCATATTCAAAATTGCTTAAAGTGTATTGAATTCAATCCTAAAAGTGGCAAATCAGAAGGATATCTACATAGTATACCTAAGGGCAATTTACCTTTTGAAATGCTTCATATTGATCACTATGGGCCATTAGCTCCTTTTAATAAGAATAAATATATATTTGAAGTTGTTGATGGGTTTACTAAATTTATTAAGTTCTATCCTTGCAAATCAACAAATACAGGAGAAGTAATTAAATATTTAACTGAACATTTTGCTAATTATAGTGTACCGAGCGTTATCAGTTCAGACAGAGGATCTTGTTTTACCTCTCATGATTTTAAGAAATTTTTGGAGGAGTATACAATCAAACACATACTGATTGCAAGTGGTTGTCCGAGAGCCAATGGGCAAATAGAACGTATGAACAGGTTATTGACACCTCTTCTAGCAAAGATAACCGATGAAAAACAAATCAACTGGCCAAATGCATTACATGAAGTGGAATTCTGCATCAATAATACAATAAACAGATCAACAGGAGAAACCCCAGCTAAGTTACTTTTTGGAAGAGATCAAATAGGAAAGATTAGGGATAATTTAAGAGAAGCATTACAAGATATTGATAAGGAAGAACAGGATTTAGAAATGATTCGAACTAAGGCAGAAGCACAAATAATTAAGGCACAAAATGTAAATGAACAGTATTATAACAAGAAGCATAAGGAGGCTCAAAAGTTTAAGGTGGGGCAATATGTTATGATTTCCAACGTAGACACAACCCCTGGAGTAGCTAAAAAACTTATACCAAAATTTAGAGGACCGTATGAGATTGTGAAAGAGCTACCAAATGATAGGTATATTGTGAATGATATTGTTGGGTTCCAAACAACACAAGTACCATATGAGGGAATTATAGACAGTAGTAGGATTAGAGCTTATGATAAATAATCAATTTCATTATTAGTTAGGGTTAAAATAATTATGTTTAATTTTTATTCAATTATGTTTATGCTTATTTATAATCCATTACTTGTACCATTACATCGAGACAGTTAGGGTGTGTTATGGATATTATGATTTCCATTTGTACCCCTATGGACACTTCAATCCATTATGTATGTTATGTCGTGCTTATTTAAACTATTATGAATGTTATGCCTTGCTTATTTAAACCATTATGAATTATGATTATTATGATTTGTTTATTTAACTCATTATGAATTATTATTATTATTACTGTATGTTTTAAACTTTAAAGGAAAATGTTCATTTCAAATATCCATTATGTTATGTCTTATGAAAGTCATGAATGTTAAATATCTTAGTTATGAAATTAATATACTGTAATATTAGGTTGATCGAGGACGATCAGACGTGTCAGGATGGCCGAACTGTAGTCTTATTTGAATTTCGCGCCATTGACAGATCTGATTGTCACTCAATTTGAAAAAAAAGAAGATAACCACACTTTATGTTTAGACTTGACTTGTGATTATGAATTATGGCCATCTGAATGTTATGAAAACTATTATGTCGAATTATGTACAATTAGTGTTTCTTTCCGCTAAATAAACTTAAGAAAACTAGAACAATATTATTTATTAACGGAGCCTACAATATAGTAGTTTTCCTTATGTTATTGTTTAGTTCGACAATGTATCTCTCTTATTTATACATATATGATTGAATCATGCTTTAGTTGAAACAATAGTAAAAGTCTTTTATACAACCGTAGGCAATTGTTTGCGCGTATATTTCAGTGGTATGATTCTTAACTGGTCGGCCGTTCTTCCATAAGAAATATTGCCTATCTTACCTGCACTGCATTCTAACTGTGGCTTCTACTAATATTTGTAACAACTGCTGTTGCTCCTTCAGTAAATAATAATCTTCACAAAATGCAAACTGAAAAACTATAATATATTAAAATTCTAGTGAAATCATTTCTTCAATTCAAATTCCTTGTGCTTGTATAATAACTAATGTATTACTTTTTAGGTCTAATCCACCTACACCATCCAGAACACGACCAAGATCAAACTGATAAAATTTTTAACAAACGACGAAAAAATAATTGACAATCAATTGATCAATTTTTTTGAACATAAAACAGCTACTATTTACTTATATCTTATATTTTTTACGCTTATATCTTCAACAAAAAATGGAACTGAGCATTTTTCGATAGAATTTTAACCTATTTCCATATACTTAGGTTATTTATGTAAAAAGATTGTAAATGAAGATTTACGATTGGGACGAGTCAGGTTGCTAAGCTATAATACATGGGACCTTGTGCTGATGGGTGATATAGAATGTAATATGTGTGTATTTGAAGAAACGGGTCATTTAAAGTTAGTACAATAGGTACTTACGGTACCTTAAGGTAAGGTATCTTATAGGTACTTAAGAATTACTTAAAACTTAAACATTTGGAGTTATCTATATTATCTGGTGTTACAGAAGAATCCTACGAATATCATGGATTCAAAGAATATCAAACATGGAAGTAATTAGAAGGATAGGAAATGAGGCGGAAATAATATTAACAATTAAAAGACGAAAACTTGAGTACTTGGGACATGTGATGAGAGGGCAAAAATATGCATTATTACAACTTATTATGCAGGGCAAAATCCGAGGAAAGCGAAATGTGGGAAGACGAAGAATATCCTGGCTTAAGAACTTAAGGGAATGGTTTGAATGCAGTAGTGCAGAACTTTTTAGAGCGGCAGTCAACAGAGTCCGCATAGCCATGATGATTTCCAACCTTCGATAGAAGATGGAACTTAAAGAAGAAGAATATTATCTAAAATGTACTTATTCCACTACTTTTTAACACTTTAACTGCCATGTGCGCCAAAATGAACAGCTTTTGTATTGAATGTTGTGTGTCTCTTGTTGACACACTTACACAACTAATTTACATAAGAAAAGGCGTGCATAAATTAAGTCTGTAAATATGTAATAGTATTCAGAGTTGGTATAAAGTATGGGACCTAGTAAATATCTTTGAAATGAAAAAGATATATTCATGAAACTTAACATGCAAATACAATGACACATTGTCATTTCTTTATTACCACCCTATTTCTCATTTCACAAGAAATAACATCAACTTATTCAATTTAAATGGGACACCCTGTATATTTTTAAAGATTTTAAAATAACTTGTTATTCCTAATATGTATCTACCAAGTTTCTTAAAAAATTCTTCTTTTGAACACACGTCCATTACACTCCAAAATATACATCGATCTCCCTCCAGCCAACCATACTTAACTTATTCTGAGAGTAGGTATACTTATACAAGTACTTACATTCAGCTCAACCTTGTCAAAGGCTTTTATTCCATTTCCTTTTTAGAGAGATTTTATTCCTTAATTATTTATATGTAAATGTTTATATGTCTAACCATTGCTCATGGCTTGAGATTTTTAGCTAATAAGTAGTTTTAAATGTTTTTATAGAAATTCCATGATTTTTTCTAACCTAGCAACCTTTAACGTAGTTTATCTTGTAATAAACGGTTGGGGCACAAATTTATAAAAGAATTCACAGTTAATTCAGTTATACAATACATAGAGATTTAAACAAGATAGAAAGACTATACTAGGCAAATTACTACTTTGTAGTTTGAAATTGCCTTCTGAAAAATAACTTTATTATTATTATTATTATAACAATATATTTTTGGTGTCTGTTTTTATTTTCTGGTTCAGTTTTGTTTTTTGTTTACAATAAAGTTAAGAGAACTGTATTTATGTGTTGTTGATCTTAGATCTATAGAGACCTTATCTCAGATTTCAAGATTTGTGCTGACCGTTTATTGTATGTAAAAGTAATGTCTTTCCTTTCCAAATATCTATAGTTCGACCAATTAAACGAAAGTCACTCAAAGTGACTTAAATAAAATTTATAATATAGATCTGATTATGCTCGATTTTTGCTCTTACTGTATTACTCCAATTCTTAGAATATTCGTTAATCTGATCGAATTGTACTACCCGATAATCTTGCTAGTTTGTGGGCTTCAAATGATCTTATATTTATAGCAAAACCATAATTGCAACAGAGTTTAGGACCTTTTGAAGACTGTTTCTACTATTGGAATTAAAACGTTAATGAATGAAAGATTACATATAAGAGTCCAAAACTGGATCAAAAACGTTTTGAAGATTTGTAATCCTTTTGGATAGATTTTTTAATTATTTTTAATAAATAATATACCATTATACACACGAAGTGCTTAATTCTATGTAAGTTTTTTTAAACTATGGTATCTAGCCAACCACTGGGATTTTCCCCATTTATTTTACTTAGTAGTTCTTCTTATGCTTTTACATCATACAAGCTTCCTCATGCCTGCAACATAAATATATTTATGTATAACGTAGAAGTTTTTGTTCATACAACAATGTGATAAGGTCTTTTGGTATACTTTAGCTCTGGTAGCGATTAGAAGCTTGTAATAATCATTTTACTTGTCTTGATCATTGAATAGGTATACGCGGCCATACCACAGAAGGAGTTCTTTTTTTCATGTTCCGCTCCTATCGGAGATTGGAAATCATTCTGGCAATTATAATTTTGTTGGTTACGCGCCTGAATAGTTCAATTGAACTGTATCCAAACCATTCACGGAGATTGCTTGCTTAGCCACGAGCTTTTACGTCTTTCTACGCTTCTTCTGCCTTTGATTTTACCCTGCATTATATTCCTTAGTAGTTCGTATTTTTCACCTCTCATGATGTGCCCCAAGTATTCCAAGTTCCTGATTTTTATGGAATTTAAAACTTCGCATTGTTTTCCTAGTTGGTCGAGAACCTATTCGTTTGGTTTGTGATCCATCCATGATATTTTCAAAATATGTCGGTTACACCACATTTCGAATGCTTCTTTAATTGTCCAAGTTTCAACCGCATACAAAAGGGTAGAGAAAATATAACATCCAAGCATTCTTATCCGGAGCGATATATTGATATCGCGATTACAAAAAAGTTTTATCATTCTATTAGAAGTTGACGGTGCAATTTCAATGCGGCATCTTATTTCTTTTGTCTGATCAGTATCTTCTCTGATCCATGCTCCAAGGTATTTGTACGAATATATTTGTTTAATTTCTGCATTATCTAGTACTAGCTTAACTTTGATGTTTTGTGCTTTTGTAAATACCACGAACTTGGTTTTCTTCAAATTTATTTTTAGTCCATAATCGTTGCAATATATATTTAGTTGTTCAGCAACCTGTTGCAGTTCTTCTAGTGTTCATGCCAGAAGGACGGTGTCGTCAGCATATCTTATTTTAAGTGGCTCACCGTTTATTATCTGGCCCTCACTGACCTCGGCAAGCGCTAATTCTGAGATGGCTTCACTGTATAAATTGAATAACAAGGGTGATAAAATACACCGTTGGCGAATCTGGATATCCTGGGTCAGTTCATTTTCAACTTTCACTTTTGCTGTTTGGTTCCAATAGAGTTTACATATGATTCTAATGTCTCTACTGTCTATGTTTTTATTTAATAATAAAAATTTTTTAAGCCGATTATGCTGCACTCTATCAAATGCCTTCTCAAAATCAATGAAACAGGCATATACTTCCTGATTTATATCTAAGCATTTCTGCGAAAGAACACTTACTGCAAACAGTGCATCCCGTGTTTCCAGCCCTTTCCTAAATCCCATTTGTGTATTACTTATGCCTTCATCTAATTTCTTATGTATTCTATTGTGAATTAATTTTAAAAACAATTTCAAGACATTACTCATTAAGGCTATGGTGCGATGTTTAGGCGCAGAAGGAGTATGGTCCTATAAAAACAATACTAGGTCTTTCTGTAGCAATATTATCAGTAATTCCTTTATTCCAATGCACCTATGACAAAGTTATTTTGTAGTGCTTCACCAGTCACTTACGGAACTGTTTGCAGTTCAAAGTTCTTACATGCTCATAAGTTGTAGGTTAGATTCAGATCTACTCACTAATTTTAACATGGTACTCCTATCAATAAATAAAGTTTGCTAATATTTCACGGATACCTAAACGGAAACTTTTTATTAGAGATGGCAACACTGAATTTATGAATATGAAGGTCATAAACTTCTAGAGCACTTTTGGTTTCAGTATTAAAACTAATGCTCCATTATCGTTAGTGTTATAGAAACTGATGCGATCAAACAAAAGAAACTAGCGTACCTCTTGTGATATATGTATCAAATACGTTATTTTTTACATTCTAGTTGTTGAAAATCTTGTAAAATCTATATCTATGAATTTGTATTATGAAAAGGTAGCAATTTTATATTTATAAATGAGGACTGGGCATTAGTAATGAGATAATTGCAAAAGAAATCGTGTTAGCATGGAAAAACGTGTAAAATACAATAACCTACAAATTTGACTAATTGTCAGGATTATGATATAGTTGTTGAGTTGACACAAACCTCGAAAGATGGGTTAAATTTAATAAGTTAAATGCCAAATAAAAAATATAGCTGAAATAATTTTGAGCAAAAATGTTTATTAGCACTTTTTGCCTAGAATGAACCGTTCTCTCAAAAACAACGATTGACGCGACTGGCGATTTTGAATGCCGGTTACGTACGCGAAATTAGTTTTAAATAAAATTTGTATCAACTCGACGGTAAAAATTCGATATCTTTTGAGCAGAGTGTCCTATTGACAAAAATCAAAATGCGTTATAAAGGTGAAGAGCGCAGCTTTCGTGCCTATGCAATTTTTGTATTTTACTGCAAATGGAGTGCAATTTTTTATAAAGGTGTTAAAATAAATAAACGTTGAGCGATTTTTGTAATTTTTTATGATTCTTATGATCAAAATGATCAGATCAAAAAAATTTATAACTTTCATTAGCCGGTCACCGTCACTATGGAGTTTTAATTACTAGATCCTAATCTTCAAAACATTTTGAGGTTTCAAAATTTTTAGAGGTTATGTAGCATTTTGGTCTCTGACGACTGGAATATTAGCTACATATTCAGTGTTTGTCTGAATTTGGTTTGTTTTTTTTCTTGCTGTTCATATATCTTTGCGTTTTTCTCCCATGATTTGTTTGATTTTCTTCTAAAAACCTCTATGAGTTATTATATACTTTTCGTGCAATTCTTATTTAAACTGTCCTCATGGCTTTGCATTTATTTGTCTTACTATGTTTGTTACCTATTGTATCTGACTTTTATATTGTTTTTCGTTTTCTTATAGCCTGGTTTCATACTTGCTGTTTCTTCACTTCGCGTTTTTGTTTCACTACCTTGTATTTATAAATTTTATAATATATTTGTTGATTGCACATACTTCTTGATGTATTAATACATTTTTAAAATAAATTTATCTGTGTCTTAATCTCAGTGCATTCTAAAAGAATAAACTTTAAAGAATAATAATACTGGTCTGCGGCGTTGTACGCATGATTGGTCTGGACCTGACCGGTCTTTAGTCACTGTTTGCCCTCCCAAATCCCTCAAATTAATACCGTTGATCCAACAAAGCTTCCTCGATGTTTTTTGTCTCGTGGTCAAAGTTACTT